TGGTGAGTGTATTCAGATCTTTTGGTATCTGAGTACTTGTAGACCTTTAGATGCAAGGAAAGTGGCAAATGCCGGTGGTCCAATCTAACTTTGGTGTTAGGTCATCTGCAGGTCTCTAAACATGATTAATACCTGCCCTTTTAAAAGCAGGTGAACATTTCTTATTGACTTAGATCAATATCATAGTTTTTCCAGGACAAAATAGTGATTTTCAGGTAATTGGATTGGCAGTAGCATATATAAGTCTGCACCAGAGATCTCTTACGTACAAACAGCAAATACAAGGTAAGGCTAGTCAGAGGAGAACTCCTATCATCCAAGGATTTCTCTAGATCTGTCACATCAGCACCTGCAGGGGGAAGTGCCTGTAATTCCTGTGGTCTAGTGATTTCCCATTTGTGAAGAGCTCAAATCTGGATTCTCCAGCATCATATTTTATACCCATTTAGAGATAAGTGATTTTTAGCTGAGAAGCTTGGAAATTCTGTAATCAACAGGCTGAGGATCTTCTACTATTACACATAATATATTTAGAGTACAATGCATTCTTACACATAAATAATTTGGAGTACAAGGAAAAAAAAGTATGGCTCAAAAATAGAATAAATAAAATGCTCAGGATATGTATCTTCTGAAAATTAACCCTTCCATCTAAAATGCACAAGCAATAAATTCTAAATATCAGGATCAACTGGGAAAGAAATTTAGATATACATCTAGATTTTCTTCATGTTTTACAGGACTTGCTTTTCTTCTTACTTCATAATGATGTAGAGAATTCCTACACTTTAACTTTATCTCAGAATTAGACCTCAGCACAGAATACTTTGGATTTAATCTGAGGTTTTAAATAATTGCTCAATAAAATAGAACAATTATATATAATAATAATTGCATATTACACAATTATATACCAATTATATATTATAAAATTCTAAATTATGCTTTCTATAGAGTTAACTCAGAATTCCTGTGTACCCAAAAGTATCATCCCTGAATTGCAGGAACACATAAATAGGAACTTCCCCAAAAATGTAGGAGTATAATCCTTGACACATTCTTTAAACAAGGAATTTCCCGAACCTTAAGTTTTCTGTCTAAGTCCATTTATATTTTAAATTATTTTCCCCAGGTTCTTAGACTATTTTCAATATTTTCCCAGAAGAAGTAGGAAAACACTATAAGTTAGGAATTGTGAAATATACCTCAGAAGCTTCCTTTGAATAATTTTTAGTGCAATCTCTGCTATTGACTGTGAACAAGACAGAAAATGATAAAAATATAAATCCTCTTCTCACTTCTAGTAATTTTCTCTCTGAAAAATATGATGATGCTACACCAATTAGATTAGATCCCTTTCCCTTTATATTGAAAGGGAAAGTAAGAAAATATGGCTACGTTTTCTCCAAGGCTGGAAATACAACTGAAAGATGAGGAAAGTATTTCTGTGAGTCATTTCAATGACCAAGATAAAGCCTTTATATAGGAAGCCTATTTTCCATTGGACTGAATATCACAATCTGAGATATTTTGGCTGACCTGTACTTACTGACACAATCTTGCAAGTAATTGCCTAAAACTGTCTTGCAAGCAGTTAGTGTATTTCCTTGCTAAGCATCTTTACTTTAGTAACTGGTTACCGGAAAACAGGAGCTTTTTTGACCTCCCCAACTTTTGCTGAGAATTGTAAGGCTATTTCTATATCATCCCTGCCAACAGCTTATAATGCATAGGCACAGAAACCTATGTATGTGGCCATTCTGCCATACTATCAAAGACTTACCTGGTGCCTCTGGAAGTACACATTTTTGCCCAAAGAGTTGTGGAGTTACAGGGATATTGCTTTTCAACATCAGAAGTGAATCAATCATTTTGGATGCTCTCAGCTACCCACGAAAATAGTGGTAACTTGGTCTTTTTTAGATGAGTGAAGATGTATACTTGAGAAAATATCTTAAAAATATAGATCACCAGCCTGAATTTTCTCAGAAATCATCAAGTCAGTTCATGTCTTCATCAAGGGAAAATAAAAAGGTTAAAAACTTTAAAAATTATAATTATTTCACAATTCCTGTATCACTGGCTGCCCGGCACTCACTGTAGCTCTGTGTTCACACTGTAGCTCTGTGTGAACAGTTTTGAAAAGATGGAAATAGAAAACCCTACCTTATGTAAGTCACAGGACTTCTAAAAGGAAGCAGAGTGGGAGATTTATTGGGGTACTATTATAAAAGAGGCTGTTTGTGTTTTATTTGTTAGGAAAACAGTTTTACATTGGTTTTCTCATTAGATACACCATTATCTCACTTGAAATTACAGGAAAGAAAGGATTGGTCCTATGAACTGGGAATGATTGATCCTGAAATATGGTTTGTGCTTTCTTTTCTGGAAAATGATACTCTATATCTGCTTCTATAACAATTTTTGTATCATTCCAGTTGAGTCACTTTCAGCATTTTCTGGATGCTTTAATCACGTACTTTGATGGTACATGCCTTACCTCTTATCTCTAGCCTGACAGATAAAGATGCTGAGCAGTCAGCATTGCATTTGAGGTCAATAGCTCCCCCATCACCTTAGTGCTGTGTCATGAGAGGTAAATTGAAAAAAAAATGGATCGTTGTGTCTCAAGCACTCAAGAAAAGTAGATGCTTTTGACCTTAATGTCTATCTATGAACCTTTTAACCTACACCCATAAAATAGGAACAATACCCTGTATATGCTACGGAGATTTTGGCAAACCAATTCACTAGTATTTATGAAGCAGAAAATTGGAATAAGTGCTCGAGAAAAGCCTTGGTTGAAACTAGTGTCTGTCTTTGAAATAGACTACATAGCTTACAATGAACTAGTCGCATACATCCATAACATTTCAGGCAAAATACTAAAAAGTTATTTCAAGTTCTTTCATGCTACCTTCTGCCAACCAAATCAGTCGTGCAGAGAAAATGTTTATGTGCTTCAGTAGTTGAAGATCGTATCACGTAGGGATGAGGTTGGCAAAGTTCTTTAAGTTCATATGTAGAGAATATGACTTTGTAGATTGCAAAGTCATATTCTCTGGGCACTATTCAGTATAGATGTGTTCTCAAGAACTCAAAACTGCACAGAAAGAAGATCACAGGAACCGTGAAAGTAATGAAAGAAAAATACTGCCTTGAAGTGAAATCTATGAATATTTTGCAGAGTACTTTCCTCTTCCGTGATTACGAAACACTTATAAACATGCACACAACTGCCACAACTCAGAAAAGCCATAAATAAAAAGCCACAAGTACTGGTACCAGTACTGACAGAATTGTAATAAAGTAGCATTTTCTTCTCTGGAGCACAGAAAATAAATGGTTTTAAAGAACAATAACAGGCATTCCAGCAGCAATGCAGTTACTTGATAAAATCCTGATCTGCTGTAAAATTACCCAAAATGGTAGAATAAAGGGTTGATTTTGACCAATCTGAAATTTCTTTTAGCAGTAGTAAAGCACAAAGGACAACTTTTCTAACCCGTCTGAGAGCAGACGGGTTAGAAAAACCACAGTAGATTGTTTAATACCTTCACTACTTTTGTTAAGTGGTTTCTTTGACCTGAGCAGTAAGACTTACCAAAAGACATCCACTCTGTTCTTCTGAAGTCCTAGCTCTACATACTCCCACTACTGGTAACTAGATAACATCCCCTCATGCACAAAGAAAGGTAACCTAAAAAAGGTAAACCTTGATTAAAAAGGGGCTAAGCATGGCTGTGCCAACACAAATTTCTAGATTTACTCTATCCTCCACAGTAAATAAACACTTAATCCTATAAAGTATTTAATCCCTAAAATACATCACCAATTCCTGGTTACATCAGATGCTAATGCACCACTGCTTCTGTTAAACCATAATCTGTCAGACATCAAGATGTATCAGCCCTTGAAAATATCAGACGTAAAAGTTTACAAAATTACAAAAGAGATGAGACTGAAAGTCAAAGTGAGTTATCTCGTCCAACGTCCCTGCTCAAGCAAGGTCATCCCAGAGCACATTGCACAAGATTGTTTCCAGATGGCTCTTGACTGTCTCCAAGAAGGAAAACTCTGGAACCTCTCTGGGCAATCAGTTCCAGTGGTCTGTCACTGTGCAGTAAAGAAGTTCCTTGTCACGTTCAGGTGGAACTTCTTGTGCATCAGCCTCTTGCGCTGTTGCTTGGCACCTCCAAGCAGAGCCTGGATCCACTGACACCCTCCCATGGGATACTTGTATGTATTAATGAGGTGCTCCTCTTAAGACTGAACAGACTCAGCTTCCTCAGCCTTTCCTTGTAAGACAGATAGTCTCTCTAGTCCCTAATTGTCTTGGCAGAGAATATTTGCTGCAGTTTAAAATCAGCTGGTTTGTTTCATTTCATATTAAAGCCCAATTAAGCATGACTCCCAAGTTACTTACTTCTACATTATGTTCTTCAAAAATATCAGCTGCTGGACAACATGGAATCTTTCAGACCAGAAATAAATACCTTGCCAAGCATATACAGAAGAGAGTGAAAAAATATTTTTCATAAAAGTGTTTTCCCCGTTTATTTGATTTCTTGGTATATTTAATAAAATTATTCCTTTCAAAGCATTATATTTTTATATAACCTATACATTTAGCTTTACTCATTCATATTGAATAAAAAATAATCTCCCTTTGCATGTACAAAGCAAACAATGGTAATAATTTAGATTAACAAAATTCTGAATATGAAAAACTACAATTAGAAAGCAAAAGATCAATCTGTGTAAAAAAGTTTGAGTTTCCCTTTAAAGAATAAAAATTTATATGCATTGACACCCATGAATCTTTCCTATGAAGTCTTTACTTTAAATGGAATTTACAATATTTTTAGGCTAACATTTTTTTGTTAGAAACTTAATTTCATTACTTTCCATAGATTGATGAAGCAGAATGAAAGACCCATCCACAGCAATTCCTACAACAATTTCTTATAAAATGTTTTGAAATAATAGGAGATTCCTACCGGGTCTTCTGTTTTGTGGTTATTCAGCAAATCAGATAGGAAATCATCGTGAAGACTTTCTCTCCGAATCAATGTAAATTCACGTAGAAAAACTGCTCCTTGATTTTGGTCTCCCAAAACCTAGAAGGAAAACACGGTATTAGGAAATGCAAAATTTTAATTCTTTCATAGAAATGATCCTAATATCCAGAAAAATATGACTGGAAGATTCAAAAAGCCAGTTAATGGTCATCTGTCTTCCACTACTACACTTGTTCTAAACAGACAGCCTTGTCATTAATAAGAATACTGACATGCTTTTAAAGAGTGTCTTTACAGTTATAAATAATTTCCATTTACATGAAATTCTGTTGTGGAAGAAGTTTCTATAACAATATTTACATCTATGGTTTGTAAGACAGTAATGTTTAAAAAATCTTTTGTTAAATGAGTAAATATTTAAATTATTTTTACTTTACAAAACAGAGCATGTTTGTCCAGCCTTTTGATGGCTCTATCATAAGAAGATAGAGCTTAAAACTTAGAAGGGACAGAAAAAAATTATTTATAAGTACTTTGACTAGCAAACTCCAAAATGCACATGCATTGAAAATAATTTAAACTAACTTGTATCTATTCTTTTTAGAAATATATATATACATATAAGCTACTGAGAAAGAGGTTGTTTCATCAGTGGTTGAATGAAGCAATTACCATCAAAATGTCCTAGGTACAATCACAACATTTTTATAGATTTTAGAAATACATAATGAAACTAAATCCACATTCTTCAAGCTCTCACATTCATTTTTTCTTTGGTTGTTGAAGCCAACAAGAAGCCTTCTGTAAGTCTAGGGCAATTACAATAGGCTGACCAGAAGAAGATTATCTAATTAATTTGCAGAGGGAAATGGGAATTTCTGTGATGTTGGGTAATGGTAAGAATTGAATCCCTAAATCCAAACCATATGCACCTGAACATAATAGATGTTTTCTTTGATATAAAATTCTTGCTTCTAGTAGTGAGATAGAGAGCACCTAGGTCTTAAGGTTGCTTTGAGATCCTCTGGTGTAATTTTTTTTTTTAAGAACACAAGAAGAAAAAGAACATCACATAAAAGGAATAGTTCTACAGGAGTAGGGTTTTAAAATTTATAGTTAGCTTCCCATCTTGTGGATAACATTGAGAGATACAACCACTGATTTTATTTTTATATTATTGAGTCATAACAATGAAGAATCCTCAGGGGTGTCTGAGGAAGAAACATGCATATATCCCAAAGAAAAAGAAGCTCTGTTACAGACGTATTCTTTTTCGACAAATCATTATCTTACAAATAAAAATGTTCTTGGAATAGGTCATACTTCATAAAAATGTTTCACCTCAAGATTGGCAAAAACTGTTCAAAGAATTAAAGTGATTTCAAGAAAGGAAATCTGTTCTTTTATTTTACTTTGAAATAATAGCACCTACTTGTGATTTTAAACACTTGCGATCAGCAAATCTAATGATAAAAATTATAAAATTATAGAATTAAGTTAGAAAATATAAATAAAATCACCTAGTCCAACTTTTAATCCAGCACTGCCAAGTCCACCATTAAATCAAATCCCTAAGTGCCTCTTCCAGATGTCTTCAGTACGTCCAGGGATGGTGACTCAAAAATGTCCCTGGGCAGCTGGTTCCAATGCTTCTCAACTTTTTCTGTGATGAATTTTTCCTAATATCTAATCTAAACCTTCCCTGGCAAAATTCAAGGCCATTTCCTCTTATCCTATTGCTTGTTACCTGGAGAAGAGGTAAGACAGAAACTCCTTTTCTCCAGGCTAATTACCCTCAGCTACCCCAACACTTTCCTCGTGAGACTCATGCTTCATACCCCTCACCATCTCCACTGCCTGTCTCTGGATACACTCCAGTATCTCAATGTCCCTCCTATCACAAAGGACCCAAAACTGAACACAGGATTGGAGGTGTGGCTTCACAAGTGCCAAGTGCAGGAGGACAATCCCTGCCCTGCTCCTGCTGGCCACACTTGCTGGTACAGGCCAGGATGCCATTGGCCTTCTTGGCCCCCTGGGCACAGCTGGCTCATGTCCAGCCACTGTCACCAGGTCCTTTACCTAGTGGGCAGCTTTCCAGCCACTCTGCCCCCAGCCTGTGGTGCTGCTTGGGGTTGCTGTGATCCAAATGCAGGACGTGGCACCAGGTCTCATTGAACATCATACCACTGACCTTTTCCCATCAATCCAGCCTGTCCAGATTACTAATCTGGTATTAATTAATTATCAATTAATTAATTATTATTTTATTAATTAATAATCAATTAATTATTTATTATTAATTCATCTGGTATTAATTAATTAATACCTGTCCAGGTATTATTAATTTTAGAAGTCAAATTACAATGTAAAGAGACACTTTATCACAAATGATTCACCTTCCTATTTTGCTTATTTTGTTCCTATAAAAATATACCCATATTCTGAAAATTCTTTTCCTTATAAGAGCAATCAGCTTGCTGTTATTAAAACTCCAATCTGTTTTTCAAAATAAATGAAATCTGTTGCTAAAGAATGTATATACATTAATAAATTTTTATTAGCAATAAATCATTCCTAATCCTTAAAACTTAAGTGTCTACCATATCAACATTAATGCTCTGACTACTTATAATTACATAGGTGGGAAATAGGCACTATTCCAAAGGAAGGGATAGAGATAAGCAGTCAAAAGAAAAAAGACATTGGGATCCTGAAGATGAAGGAAAAGATGAGAAATAAAAGACCCAGAAGTGCAGTAATGAAAGAATGAAAGTAAAGAAAGAAAGGAAAGAATATTTTTCTTTTAATTTATCAAATATGAATGGTAAAGTTCTGAAAAAATATGAATGGTAAAGTCTTGAAAAAATGAAAAGGACTGAAAGTATGTGGTCATCTAAAGAAGGTTATTCTTTGCCTGATTCATGTAATATGCTTTCCTCCTTTGAGTAGTAGCTCACTCTGTGTTACCTTTAACTTATCATCTGATACAATATACTTCAAGTAGAGTATCTTCATCCTTACTGAGAGAGCTGGATTCAAAGATCTATTCGTTAAAGATCATCCATTAATAATGAATGTCAGTAAATTGGAATAATGTCCTGAAGGACCGTTTTTCCTTTTTCAAGTTTTCCTTGAAGTCCTGATTACATATGCATCACCATTTCATTCTTTCAGGAAATCCATTTTCATCATAACACAGCCATCATATTTCTCATCTATCTTCATTCAGTTTATGATCAGACAAGCTTAAGAAATATCTCCAAAAATACCCCAAAGCAGCCTTTTTTAAGCAGCGAGGAAATCATGCAGAGGAACAGTGGTCTGGCAGAAATCTGACCTTTATCAGCAGCAGTCATAAGCATCAATAAGTGACTTTTCATGAATTTGCAAACAAAATTGTAAATGAGGTTTCACTAGTGCACATGAAAATCAAAGGCATATAACTGAAGTTTCTCAGCATGAGGAAGATATCTGGGCATTCAGTTGTTCAACCAGCTTTGCAAAGGAGCCTTCAATGAAATTGATATGAGATAAAATTCCAGCAAATACCTAAGCAATAATGTTTTTCTTATTTTCAGTTTCTATCTTTCTTAAATCAATGCAAAACATAAATTGCTCCATTAGATCCAGTGGTGTGAGTCCATATGGAGGAAATTTTTGAGGAAACAGGCTGACAAATACATAATTAGAAAATAAAAGATCCAACACAAAACAGCAGATGAAAGGATGCATCCCAGCCAACACAATCTAAGTTTTCTTGCACTTTATTACTGTCCCACTGTGGAACTAGCTCCATTAATTTTGCTGTGACCCACAATAAAGTAAGCTATTGGTAATTATTGTTAGCAAGGTGTAATACTAATATTTTGCTGAATTCACAAGGCACAAGACTAACAACACAGGCTTGGAATATGATGTAAATAACCATAATACCTTGGATATCACCTTTCTCAGCACAGATGAGGAGTTTCCAAGTACTTCACTCAGAAAGCAGAAATATCAAATGTGGCCTCAATACTTATAATTAACCATTTAAGTACATTCCACGAATAGTTTCAAGGTGACAGTTGCTTTGTTAAAGCTTTTTGTATTTTGTATTTTCAAAGTCTAAAGCACACAGAAAATTATGTTTTGACTAACATCAAAACTAGTGACAAAAAACCCCTGTTTATTAAAAATACTTCTGATAAAATTATTTAAAAAAACAGATTGTTTCAGTTTTCTTTTTTTTTACAAAGAGGCCTACAGTGTTTTGACAATGAAAAGAGGACTATTTTGCTAGCTATTACTGTGAATCTCTTGATTTTCTTGACAGAAACAACCTGAAACAGGAAACATGAAAAAATTCAGGATATTAAATATCAAAAAGGGTAGCAGTGACATTAATAGTGAGGGATGAGGAATGCAGGCTTTTAACAAGCCAAGTACATTGCCTTTTTTTAGATTAAAATGCACTCCAAACACCATAACAACTTGTGCATGTATTTCAATTCTGAATTACTCTCCATAAAACCTAACAACAACGTTCCACTTTACTGCCCACACTTCCAAGAGAAAGAGTGCTGCATTTTTACATGGGTGACAAGGGCTTTACTGCATCCTTCAGCCCTGCCAATCATGCAAGAAGGAAAGGCATCCCAGAAGAATTAAAGGTGTGTATAAGCAGCTGCGAGCTGTCAAATAAACTTGATTCCTACCGCTGTTGCCTCAAGAAATTGTTTAACAAAATCTCATAGGGATTTCTGAAATAAGAAACTATTACCGTTGGCTTTAATTTGCCACAGTTTTATACTGCAATGGTGATCCGAATTTTCTTTTTCATTATTCTCCAAATGAAAAGAGAGTAGGTAGAGGGGGGGACAAGTCCAATACCAAATTCAGAAGCAATTATAGTCTGTCTCTAAATCTAAATAGTGAAAGCTGTTTGTTTTTACCAAAGTCCATGTAAGAATTTAAAATATGCAGAAACATTACTGCCCAATTCTGCCACTGGTAATCATTCTGAACACTTTTCATTTCTCCATGGAGAGCCAGAAAGCTATGCACAATTTAAAATCTATTTTGCATGTCATCTTCTGGGAATTTCTTGCTTATGAGAACACTGTGTTTTTAAGATAAATATATCCTAAAAGAGAAACTACCCTATTTAATTAAGGACATAATTCTCCAAGTGCTATGTTTCCTCATTATATTTTCAGAAATGTTGAAAATTTTCCCAATGAATTTTCCAAGTCCCCATAGGGAAATATGCAGATTCAGGTGAACAGAGAGACTGTCAATGAATTTGTAAAAATATTTAAAAATTTTAAGTGTTTGCTGTCATGCAGTCAACCCTTGCTTTAAACCAAAGACTAGAAGAATACATATGAGAGATAAGGTAGAATCCAAACTAAAAATTTAATATTTAGACAGAACTAGCAACAGCTGAATCTTAAATTTTTATTTCTCTTTCATCATTTCTGTCTCGCAGATTGGACCCTAGAGCTGTGAAAAATGACTGTTCTCCCCATGGAAAATCCTGTCCCTTCCACAAAATCTAGGGGTTTTATTATTAGTTCAGTGAAATGGTTTTATTGCCAAAGCAACAACAAGGGAAAAAACAATATATCTTTGATTTTTCTTTCATTTTTATGAAGTTAGACAATATGATATGTTTCATTTCTAAGCCACCGTTGTAAAGTTAAAGAAAATTGAGGGTTTTTTAAATAAATCATCCAGATGTGATGGCATTAAACTCCCAGTGCCTAATGTCCTGTGACATTC